ACCTCTATATCCTTCCCTTCAAGGCTCAGGGCTCCAGGATTATCTTCTGTGTCTGTGTTAATTGGTTTCCCTTTTCTTTGTTGAAGAGGATCTGTGCAGTCTTTCTGCCTAGTCCGCCATCTTGCCAGATCTCTCCCTCTTTCTTAACTTTTATAAAAATAAGTAATAAATCATAAGTAATATATACATTAAAGATAATAATTACTTTTTCAAATTACAAAGAAGGAAGACCTAGAGGAAGACAAATATGTATTTATATATAAACCATCATTAATTCTGAATGAGTGAAGTGTGAATCAATGAAATCTCATGTATTCTGGGAATGGTTTAAAGTATTGAAGATGTTAAAACAGGTAACATGTATAAAATCCCAATAACGTACTAGTTAATTCTGATATACTTTTTTCTAATTTTTACTACATCCCTGCAAAGCATTACGACCCTTATTTCAAAGAGTAGGAAATAAGGTAGTGTGGTAGTTAAGTTCTTGTGTCAACTTGGCTAGGCCTAGTTGAGTGGCTGGGCAGCTGGATGCTTATTACCATAAGATTGGTAATTAACTTCACAGTGGAATCTATTGGAGCACCTGAGTAGCTGCTTTAGGGATATGGTCCCTAAAATAAGATTAGGGATGTGATTCCCATATATAAGAAACAGCTTTGGGGATGGTTTCTAGCTTATGGCACACTTGAACCCTCCATATAGCTGAGTCATTGTTCAGCAGTCTGCCATGCTCTGCTGACCTTGGGACTTTCAATGGACTTGAATCAATGGCCTGCCATGTTGTTTGGTAGCATTGGGACTCTGCTTTTTTCACTTGTCAACCTTGGGCTTGTCAGCCTCAGCAGCCAGCAACTGTCTGAGTGAAGAAAAGTCTTTAGCTTCAGTGGGCCAGGAGCAGGAGGCAGAGGGGAAGCCCAGGGTTGAGTGACTTTCACCCAGTCTCTAGAGCCTAGCACACTGAACTTGGACATAAAGCCTCCAAAACTGTAAGAGAATAAACTCCTGTTTGTTCAAGCCATCCCATTTGTGGTATCTTCTGTTAGAGTGGCACTGGGTAACCAAAAGAGGTAGAGATCAGTTAAACATTTTGCCGAAGGTTTCAGAACTTATAAACGCCAGTCAGGACTTGAACTCAAGTCAGTTTAATTCCAAAACATTAAATTCTTTTCTCTATCCTCAAGGGACTTCTGCTCAAAGTGAAGTTAGTGAGTATGAAAGATGCCTGAATAACAAACTTTATCACGGTAAATATATTTTTTAGGTCAAGTGAGCATAACTGAACTGAATCTGAAATCTTACCTCTCTTAAGACTGATTTAAAATGTGATCTCCCTGTTTTCTGAGACTGTGTTTTTCCAGAAGGCCCATACCGAATCTGATTCCTCTTGCTTATGACATCAGCTTTCAGCTTTGGGGGTTCCCCTTCCATAACAAATACCAGTTTTACATCCATTAGCGTTAAAAATGAGATTCGAAAAAATAAGTTCCTGAAACACATAAATTAGTAATACTTAAATCAGTGTATACTAATAATAAAAATAAAAATGGTAGTGTGACATAATGTCAAGAGCACAAGACTAGTAGTATTACACATTACAGATTCCACTTACTAGTCCTGTGTGATTCTGGGACAAGTCATTTCATTTTTGGAGCCTCAATTTTCTTGCCTGTAAAACAAGACTACAAATAATCTGCCCACTTTAGCTTCCTCCTAGGTGTGGGACAATGGCACAGATGGTATTAAGATATTTTCAAAGAGAACACTATAGCAGTGCTATGATGTACATTAAATATATCTTAGGTTTTGCTGAAAATGAGTATTCACTTCAACAATTTTTTTTTTTTTAATTGTGATTTGGGTGAAAATTTACAGGGCAAATTCACTTTCCATACAGCAGTTCACATATACTTTGTCTCATGACATTGACCAGTTTACCACAATGCAACAGCTCCCCTCCCACTTCCTTCCAACAGTTACCTCTTCCCTGTGTCCATCCCTCCATGCACTCCTGCCCCCTGAGCTGTCTCCCTGTGCATAAACAGCCCTTCTTTCTCCCATGATTGTTCTCTCCAAGGAGTGTATCTACCTCAGGTAAATGTTCAACTCATATGCCTGTCTTTTGTTTGGCTGGAAGCTACAGGTGTGGGTTCAATTCCAGACCTGAAGGGCAGTTATGGGCCATAGTCTCAGTGGTTCCACCAGGCTCTATGAGACCAGCAAACATGGTCCACCCTCCCTTTTTTTTTCAAAAAAATTTGAGTTTTGTTCCATATTGTTCTCTCTCTATATCCAGGATCTACATAGATCACCCTCTGAGTGGTTGACAGCGGTAGCCAGGCACCATCTAGTTCCTCTAGTCTCGTAGTCCTATAGGCTGCAGATCTGATGATGTACCAGTCACTGGGACTAATTGTTTCCATGAATCTTTGGTTTTCTTCATTCTTCTATTCTCTGGATAAGGAGAAACCCATCGTTGCATCTAGATGGCTGCTTGCAAGCTTTTTAAGATCCCAAATGCTACTCGCAAAAGTAGGAGGTGGAACAATGTTTTGTGTAGTATGTTATGCCAATTGAGCTTGATGTCACCTGTCACTATGGTCCTGAGCCCCAGGTTCAACTACTCAGTCCCTATGGGTAGCTGGCTGTGACCAAGAAGTGACTACAACCATGTCCCTTGTCAGCTCTACTATACACCTGGGAATTCTTATAGAACATAAAAATATACTTGTAGGACTACTGTCTGCCAACCCTATACGTGGTCTTGGGTACACATCCTGCTTCATAGACATACCTAATTATTCAGCCTGTCTACCAATTTATCCACCCATATACCCGTGTTTGCCTTCACTGACAACACAGTACTGTATGTACAAAAGGGTTCCTCTTTGTTGTCTGTACCTCCCATGTACCTCTCTGTCTTCCTCTTCCTCAATGCTACCATACTGATCACTCACATTTGGTACATTGCCCTTCTCTTTTATCCAAACCAATACTTACTCTACCTACCTAACAGTGTTCCCTACCCTCCTCTCCCATCCCTGGTAACCAGCAAAGAAAATTTCCTTCCACATATAAACCTTTCCTTGACTTTTATAGTAACAGACTAAAACAATATTTGTCCTTCTGTGATTGTCTTATTACAACCAGCATAATATCCTCCAAGTTCATTCATGTTATGCAGTGTTTTGCAGATTCTATGCTATTCTTTAGCATTGCATAGTATTGTATTGTGTCTATTTACCAAAGTTTGGTTATCCATTCCTCAGTTGATGGATACCTAGGTTGTTTCCATCTTTTGGCTATTGTAAATAGTGCTGCGATGAACATGGGTGTGCATATATCTGTTCTTGTCATGTCATGGCTCTCACTTCTTTAGGATATATACCTAGTAATGAAATGGCTGGGCCAAATGGTATTTTTAATTCCAACTTTTGAAGGAATCGCCATACTGCTTTCCACGGTGGTTGTACTATGTTACAGTCCCACTCTCTGTATGAGAGTCCCAATTTCCCTGCATCTGTGCCAGCATTTGTTATTTTCTGTCTTGTAGAACTTTGCTACTAGTGCTGGGTCAAGATGGTATCTCATTGTTGTTTTGATTTGTATCTCTTTAATGGCTAATGATCATGAGCATTTCTTCATATGGTTGTTGGCCGCCCGAATATCCTCCTTGATGAAGTGTCTTCTGCCCATTTTTTAACTGGATTATTTGTCTTTTTGTTATTGAGGTGTTGGAGTTTTCTATAAATTTTAGAGATAAGTCTCTTGTCGGATATGTCATTGCCAAATACTTTCTCCCAATCTGTAGGTTCTCTTTTGACTCTTTTGGAGAAGTCTTTGGAAGTACATAAAAATTTAATTTTTAGAAGGTCCAATTTATCTAGTTTCTCTTCTGCTGTTTGTATATTTTGGATTATGCTTGATAAGTCTATTATCATATATTAGGGCCCCTAAATTTGTTCCTAGTTTCTCCTTGAGGAACTTTATAGTTTTAAGTTTCACATTTAAGTCTTTGATCCATCTGGAGTTCATTTTTGTGTAGGGTGTGAGGTACAGATCTTGTTTCATTTTTCTCGTAATGGATATCCAGTTTTGCCAGCACCATTTATTACACAAATATTCTCTCCTCACTTAATGTATTTTGACCCTTTGTCAAAGATCAGCTGACCATAGGTCGATGGATCTATTTCTGGGTTCTCAATTCTATTCCATTGGTCTATGTATCTGTCATTAAACCAATACCAGACAGTTTTGACTACTGGGGCTGTATAGTAGGTTTTGAGATCCAGCAGTGTGAGACCTCCTACTTTGTTGTTCTTCTTCAATAGTGCTTTGCTTATCCAAGGTCTCTTTCCTTTCCATATAAAGTTAGTGATTGTTTTTTCCATATCCCTAAAGAATGTTGATGAGATCTGGATTGGGATTCCATTGAATGTATTGATTGCTTTAGGTAGAATTGACATTTTCCCAATGTTCAATCTTCCTATCCATGAGCATAGGCTGTTCTTTCATTTATGTAGATCTCTTACGGTTTTTTGAAGTAGTTTATAGTTTTCTTTGAAGAGGTCTTTTGTGTCCCTGGTAAGATTTATTCTCAAGTATTTTATTTTTTTGGTAGCTATTGTAAATGGTATTGATTTCCTTATTTCTTTTTCAGCACTCTCTTTGCTTGTGTAGAGGAATCCAACTGATTTTTGGATGTTGATCTTGTATGCTGCCACGATGCTAAATCTCTCAATTAGTTCCAGTAGATTTCTGACTGAGTCTTTTGGGTTTCCTAGGTATAGGATCGTATCAGCAAACAGGGATAGGTTGACTTCTTCCCTACCAATCTGGATGCCTTTGATTTCCATGATGCTAAATCTCTCAATTAGTTCCAGTAGATTTCTGACTGAGTCTTTTGGGTTTCCTAGGTATAGGATCGTATCAGCAAACAGGGATAGGTTGACTTCTTCCCTACCAATCTGGATGCCTTTGATTTCCATGTCTTCCTTATGGCCCTGGCTAGGACTTCCAGTACAATGTTGAATAGAAATGGTGACAGCAGGCATCCTTGTCTGGTTCCTGTTTGCAAGAGGAATGGTTTCAGTCTCTCTCTGTTGAGAATAATGTTGGCTGTTGGTCTTGCATAGGTGCCCTTTATTATATTGAGGAATGTCCCTTCTATTCCTATTTTGCTGAGAGTTTTGATCAAGAATGGGTGTTGGATTTTATCAAATGGCTTTTCTGCAACAACTGATGTGATCATATAGTTCTTCTCCTTTGTTTTCTTTATGTGGTGGATGGCGTTGATTGTTTTACTAATGTTGAACCATCCTTGCATACCTGATATGAAACCCACTTGGTTATGATTTTCTTGATATGCTGTTGGAGTCTATTGGCTAGGATTTTGTTGAAGATTTTTGCATCTATATTCATGAGGGATATTGGTCTGTAGTTTTCCTTTTGAGTGATGTCTTTTCCTGGTTTTGGTATTAAGGTTATGCTTGCTTCATAAAATGAGTTAGGGAGGATTCCATCCTTTTCTATGTTTTGGAATACTTTGAGTAGGATTGGTGTCAGTTCTTCTCTGAATGTTTGGTAGAATTGTCTGCTGAAACTGTCTGGGCCAGGATTTTTTTTTTTGGTTGGTAATTTTTTGATGACCTGTTCAATTTCTTCTTTAGTTATGGATCTGTTCAACTTTTCCACATCAGTCTGTTAGTTTAGGTAAGTGGTGTGTTTCTAGAAATCCATCCATTTCTTCCAGATTTTCAAATTTGTTGGAGTACAGTTCTTCATAGTATCCTGATATTACCCTTTTTATTTCAGTTGGTTCTGTTGTGATGTCACCCATTTCATTTCTTATTCGTGTTGTGTTCTCTCCCTCTTTTCCTTTGTTAAATTTGCCAGTGGTTTGTCAATTTTATTGATCTTTGCAAAAAACCAACTTCTAGTCTTGTTGATTTTTTCTATAGCCCTTCTACTTTCCATTTCATTGATTTCTGTTCAAATCTTGATTATTTCCTTTCTTCTGGTGACTGTGGGCTTTACTTGCTGTTCTAATTGTTGGAGATGTTGGTTTAAAGTGTTGATTCTGGCTCTTTCTTCTTTTTTGATGTGTCCATTTATTGCTATAAATTGGCCTCTGATCACTGTTTTTGCTGTGTCCCGAAGATTTTGGTATGTTGTGTTTTCATTCTCATTTATGATTACACTAATTGCTGTGCAGAAAACAGTTTGGAGGTGGAGGTCAAGAGCAGAGGGATGTCATTTTAGAAGTATACACAACAGATGATATTGGAATGGATGGAGGTGGTTTCTTAGACACTGAGAGAAGTTTATAAACGCAAAATATATTTTGGAAGCAGAACTGACAAGACTTGATGATGGATTAGATGTGGGGGAGAGACTAACTCTTAAACCTCTGGCTTTTAGTAACAAAAGGATCTCAGTAGATACATTAAGTAGACAGATAGATATGAGTTCTGGAGCTCAAAGGGTAGGTAAGAAGTATGGATTTGTGATTCATCAACATAAAGATGGCAGAAGTTTACATATTTTTAAAATCACAAAATGTAAAAGAACAAAATAAAAGTAGAAACAAAGTCCAGATGTTAAATTTTTATGCAATCATGCATTTATATTCTAAGAACTTTTACTATACCTGAGGTGGGGTTTCATGACTGTTCCGATCATTTTTTTGACTGTCTGTGCTTCACACACCCAGAGACTCAGATCAACTGCAATGGTTTTCCCACTAAGACTTTGTAAGTGGGTGTGTTGCTTAACAGGCTCCAAAATTTGCCACAAGTAATTCACTCCCATTCTGGTGATTATCTATTTGAAAAACATTTACAAAAATAAAATGTTAAAAGAAACAGAGGTTCACAACAGGAATTCAAACAATGCATTATAAACTAGGTCAGGATAACTCACAAATAGAGGATTCTCTTTACCTCTTTATTAGTTTTTCAAAATGAATCAAGAATACCTGAAACATTGAAAATGGTGGTAACTGGCTTGTTCTAGCTAATAACAGGAATAAATAGAGAGATAGGCAGAAAATGCATCAATGCTGTCAATCACCAACTCATATTTGTCTACTTGAGGATTTACACAGTTAAAGAAAAAAAGGCATTAGTCCTATCATGAGGAAAAACAACAACAAAAAAAAAAAGCAAGGAAGCATGCAAACAAATAACTAAAGAATAAACAAAGGGATGAAGGAAAATTTTGGAGTGGCAAGAGAAAAAACAAGAGATAAAAAATATAGAGTTGGAAAATACAGAATCATCTTTTTAAAAAGGATATTGGTTTTTAAAATTATAAGGCCACAAATGTTCATTGTGGGAAAATTTTTAAAAAAAATTTACATCACGTATAGTTTCACTATCTAAAGGAAACTAGTTTTTTCCTATGCATATGCATATTTTAAAAACAAAATTGGTTTGAACTCTTCTACTATAACTTGCTTTAGTATTTTCTTAAGACCAGCATTTTCTTATTAAACATCTACTTGCTTTTCTTTTCCTGTATAAGTATTTGGTAAGACACATGTAGCTTTTGCAATGAAGACTTGGTCTGAGTATACAAATACAATTCAGATTATCCTCCTCCAATAATGACATTCACACCACTTTCCTGTCAGTTTGTCCTATTGTGGTGGCTCATGTGCTGCTGTGATGCTAGAGGCTATGTCACTGGTATTTCAGGTACCAGAAGGGTTGGCCATGGTGGACAGGTTTCGGTAGTACTTCCAGAGTAAGACAGACTTGGAAGAAGGAAAGGCCATCTACTTCTCAAAGAGCTTGCCAGTGAAAACCTTATGAATAGCAGTGAAACATTGTTTGATGTATTACTGTAAAACTTTATGAATAGCCTTGAAACACTGTCTGATATAGTGCCATAAGATGCACCCCTCAGGTCAGAGGGCACTCAAGATACAACTGGGGAAGAAAGTTGACTTCAAAGACAAGGATGGAGCAAAGCTTCCGGGACCTCCATTTGCTGATCTCCATTTGCTGATCTGTCACGATTCAAAATGGGAAGAAACAATTGCAAACATCCATTAATAATCAGAACAGAAAATGTATGAAGTATCAATCTGGGAAAATTGGAAGTTGTCAAAAATGAAATAGAACACACAAAGATTGATATTCTAGGCATTAGTGAACTGAAATGGACTGGTTTTGGCCATTCTGAATCAGGTAATCATATGATCTACTATGCTGGTAATAACATATTGAAGAGGAAAGGTGTGGCAGTCATCGTCACAAAGAATGTCTTAAGATCTATCCTGAAGTACAATGTTGTCAGTGACAGGATAATATCCAGATGCCTGCAAAGAAGACCAGGTAATACAGCTACTATTCAAATTTATGCACCAACCACTAAAGCCAAAGATGAGGAAACTGAAGATTTTTACCAATTTTTGTAGTCTGAAATTGACCAAACATGCTATTAAGATGTATTTATTATTACTAGTGACTGGAATGCAAAAGTTGGAAACAAAGAAGAATCACCAGTAGCTGGAAAATATGGCCTTGGTCATAGAAATGATGCTGGAGATTTCATGACAGAATTTTGCAAAGCCAACAACTTATTCATTGCAAATACCTTTTTTCAACAAACAGCGGCTATGCACATGTACTTTGCCAGATGGAGTACACAAGAATCAGATCAAGTGCATCTGTGGGAAAAAGGCAATGGAGAAGCTCAGTATCTTCAGCCAAAACAAGGCCAGGAACTGACTGTGGAATAGACCATCAACTGCTCATATCCAAGTTCAAGTTGAAGCTGAAAACAACTAAAACAAGCCCACAAGAGCCAAAATATGACGTTGAGTCTATCCCACTTGAATGTAGAGACCATGTGAAGAACAGATTTGATACAATGAATACCAATGATCAAAAACTAGATGAATTGTGGGATGACATCAAGAACATCATACAGGAAGAAAGTAAAAGGTCATTCAAGGGGCAAGGTTGTGGTCACTGCTTGGTCACAGCCAGCTCGCAGAGAGACTGAGTAGTTGAACCTGCGGGCTTGGGACCATAGTTGCAAGAGACATCAAGCTCAATTGGCATAACATACTATACAAAACATTGTTCCACCTCCTACCTTG